TCTAGTGTTCAAGTCCCTACATTGGATAACTCAGTAAATAACTGGAAGATAGTATACTACCCCCCCAAGCCCCATTCTGATTGTCAAGGCCCATCCCCTCTCTCAGCGTCTATGCGATAGTCGCCCCGAAACCAAATCTAGTTTGCAAGGCCCCTTTTTATTCCCTAAGGCCTACAGGTTCATGTGCAAACGGGCTTCTAGTGTTCAAGTCCCTACATTGGAAGATCAGGATGGCTGTTCATGTTTCCCTGGTGCTTAGCAGTTGGAGGCTGGTTGCTTCGAGCATGAGGCTTATCCTTAAGGACGAAAAGAACCCTAAAACGGTCTCAGGCTAATATAAAATGTAAGAATTCATAGTACAAGGGTACAGGGCCCCTTACTTATAAGGATCCTTTGGTCCCCAAGGATCAGGAGACCCCAGGGTTTGTTTGTGTTGTTGCCTAAGGGCTCTTGACCGCCCTGAACGTGGGTAGGTTTAGGGTTTAGGATGTTTCGTGCTTACCTTGGGGACCAAAGGACCCTTATAAGTAAGGGGCCCTATACCCTTGTACGATGAATTCCTACTTTTTATATGAACCTGAAACCTGATTAGGGTTCATTTCGTCCTTAAGGCAGGGTTTAGTGTAGGGTTTACGTACAAATGAGCTGGGTTCGGTGCGGTTCCGACTGGCTCAAGGCTTCACGTGGACGGGGGGAGCCGAAATGAAGTCCTTAAAACCGACCCCACAAGGCCTTGGTATTTAGAATAGGGCCCCTTCAAGGGGCCACTATAAGGGGTTTGAATGCACTCCACTGAACAAGAAGGACTCGTCCCATGTCCTATCCTTCGAGCTCGAACGCCGGTCCAAATAGCATCGAGGGCTCAAGAAGCCGGAGGAGCTGTTCTAGTTGAGACTCCTTGTTGGGGATCTCACCTCCCGCAACGTCTCCTTCCTTCAGTAGGATGAACCCTGGCCCCAGATACCCTCCCAAATACTCCTTAAGTCAGGTAAACCAAACCCAAACCTAAACCCGAAACCCTGCAGACCCCAATGTGGGTGCCTGAGTAGCTGGAATACGTCTTTGGGGGTTATCATGCGATATATGTACCGATACTATAAGATATTCATTAATTCTTACTAACTGTTCTGACCTCTATATTCACCCCCTGCAACCCTAAACATCTGTCTTCACCCCCCTCCCTTCCGGTGTCCCCTACAGCAGAAATGACCTGTGATCTCCTCGTCGATCGCGCGGGGCACGGCCTGGAAGTGCTAAGGGTGCAGGGGCTTCTCAGGGTCTTGCCAGTGCAAAGGATGGGGAGTCGGTTTAGGCATGCGAGATTACGGGTGATCTATGTCTATATCTATCCTTATACCTACATATATATATATATAAAGACATATATATATATATATATATATATATATATATTCATATACATATACATATGTATATCTCTGTAAATCTATATATATATATATACATATATATATATATACACATTATCTCTCTCTCTCTCTGTCTCTGTGCGTCATGTCTGTTTGTTGCGAGCTCTTTTTCCTGCCGCTGGTTCTAGATGTATTGCGGATGAAAAAATCTAGGGCTTAGGGTACATCTCTCTCTCTCTCTCTCTGTCTGTCTGTCTCTCTTGCTCGCTCTCTCCCCTAAACCCTAAATCCTGACTGTATCTGTCTCTGTCTGATCAGAGTTAGGGGCATCCCCTGGCAAGTCCTCACTTGAGCACTTGCTGTGAGGTTTTGGCCGTAGCGGCCGGCACATTTGCCGGTGGACTTGTGTGTATGTTTGTGTGTATACACTCATGAATGTATGTGTGTACTGTGTGTGTGTGTACGTAGTATACACATACATGTCGTATGCATGCATGCATGCATGCATGCATGCATGCATGCCTGCATATAACGCAGATTTTTCCACCATGACTGCCGCCCTCGAAACTCTAATGCCCTAAGCTAAACCCCAAACCCCAACCCTACAACCCCAAGACTCAAAAAAAACCCTAAAACTCTGAAGCCCATACTGTCCTGCTCCACAGCTCATTGAGGATCCTACGCTTTCAACCCTAACGGGATGTAGGGCTTGCCGCGTGAAGGGCTCCGTGAAAGGTTCTGGGAGCGTACTAGACTTTCAATAAGGGTTCAGGGAGTAGGGCTTAGGATTCCGGATTTTGGTGTAATGCGATCAGACCGGATGAGTCCGCCATGAATTAGGTGATACTGATACGAACAGCAATCCTAACTATGGGCCCGGCACCAGAAATCTAACTGCCTCCACCCCTAAACCCAATCCCTAAACCCTCCACCCCTAAACCCAATCCCTTGATCCGACCTTTAACCCTAAACCCAATCCCTAAATCCCTGAAACTTTCCGCCCACCCCAGGTCTCCTCGATCTTGTCGAGCCGGATGGGTCTCTGCCTTTCACGATGTTCTTGGCTTACAATGAAAACGATAGTAGTGGTAGCAGTAGTCGTAGTAGAGTAGTAGAGTAGTAGTAGGAGTAGTAGTAGTAGTAGTAGTAGTAGTAGTAGTAGTAGTAGTAGTAGTAGTAGTAGATGGAGTAGTAGTAGTAGTAGTAGTAGTAGTAGTAGTAGTGGTAGTAGTGGTAGTAGTAGTA